GAAGGAAAAGCACAACTATTACACTGTAGTAATCCTATTCCGAGGCCAATTATACATTAGACTCTCCGGAGCAAATGATATTATCGTTACAGTAACTGAAGAATCATTCCACGGACTGTGGCATTAGTCCAAGATTATTATATCGGATCAAAATGTAATTGCAAAGCATTATAAAAGTCAGATACCGGATTGGAATCATTTTATATTTGTTTCGCATCTCGGAAGACCAACTCTCATTAAATGTGCATCACACCAATACAATTTTCTTAATCAGCAATATTAGTATACATCAATTCAGTACTATTCCTGGAGAAAGTTAGATATCTATGCAGATCTAATAATAAGATCTCCTAGATGAAATAGATTATTTAACATCTCCCTAATACTGCATAGTTTCTAATATCGTTTAACCACTACTGTTAGCAGTATAGCAAATAATCAATTGCTGTGCGATCGCTATGTTTCTTGCAAGTTTTATTTCAGAAATATTGATAATTTATTCATGCAAAGTTATTCTATATTATATTATATTTATTTTCTTTTTTCATTTCTAGGTGTGGTTCCAAAACCGTCGTGCAAAATGGCGCAAGCAAGAAAAAGTCGGTCCTCAGGGTCACCCCTTTGCGTCCTTCGGAGGTCCAACTGGCACGCCACTACCCTTAGGCGGCCCACACGCTTACTTCCCTCTCCGCAAAAGTCCTTTGGAACATCACAACGCTGGTGCTCCTCCAGCTGGGCACCTACCTCCTCCTCATGGATCTTTGCAGAACAATTTATTGAACCAGCTCTCTTTGCAGAACTTGAGCCTTCCTAACCAATTGTCGCAACTTCAAAATTTAAACTTGCCCATGTTTGGTTTCCGATATCCTGCAGGATTGGGATATTTGTCTCAATATCGCCATCCCCCACCACCGCCACAGTTATACCCACCAGGTTTCGAATCACTATTAGCAAACATGGGGGCAAGAGTTCCATTGGGAGATGGTTCTCCACGTAGTACATCACCAGGATCGGCAGAAGGTGCTTCGCCAGATCCTAGATCAAATAGTATAGCGGCCCTAAGACTGAAGGCTCGGGAACATGAACTGAGATTGGAGATGCTGAGGCAAGGATCTGCTTCGGCAGGAGACATTCTGAGTTAGTAAATGAATGTAATGCATGATTGCTTGGCGTAAAGAAAAGTCAAGTACAAATAAAAAAATATTGATTGATAAAATTTCATAATTTTACTGAGCCACGACTCCCTTTGATGACAACATACAAGATACAAGTCGAGGTCGATTTGTTAAAAGCAAAAGTGAATTATTGATATTAGTTATGTTTGCAGCTATAATCCTTACATTCCAGGCTAACAAACTAAAAATATTAATACGGATCTAATTATAAAACATTTTCAAGATTTTGCCTATTCTAAAATCGATTAATAATTTTACCTTGGAGTGCCCTTTTTCAACAATTCCATATCAAATTAGTGCCTTTTTGAAATATTTTCAAACACGAAACGCCCAGAAAAGATGTGATTAAAGCAGAATTTAAATGTATTTATCTCTATAGAACTTTTATAGAATATGTTATCCCATGATCGATTTCTAACCGTTTTGCTCAGATGAAAGCAAAATTGTTACAATTCCGATTATAGAAATTTTTATATACCAGTGAACACGTACTATGTAACAAGTTGCTAAATGTAATTGCGATTCTAAATAATTTGTAATTTAAGATAAATAAGCAATAAGTGTTGAAATGTCTATCCGAACATTTGATGTAAAAATATAAAGGTTCGTATTTAGATACTAATTTGTAATCTGATCAAAATTAAAGTTTCTATCGATACGATCAATGAAATTTGCTTCACAGGTATGAAATATGGATTATTTCAACATTTGAGAATGAATCTGTTATCTTATGATAGAAAATTTATTATTTCTTCATGTTTGATTTGTATAGTTTTGAATATTTTTAATAAATAAGTTGTAGAATTAATTGGTTCGAATGTGATCTTGGAAATGATTTGTATATTGAAAATACGTTTATGCATAATTTATGGTAATTGAGATAATTATGAAAATAATTTGGTTAATTATTTAGAATTAAAATTTATCTACATATGTAAAAAAATCAAATTCTTGTAAGAATTATATAAACACATATAAATTTTAAAGAAATTTACTACATTAATAATCAAGCGTTATTGAAGAAATAATTTAATATGATAAAAAAAATTATATTATTCTGAAAAAGACTCTGATTCATTAGTAGTAAATTTATAAAGGCTGTTTGCTTTTGAAAAATTATATGAAAAACCAAGCTGGATTTGGAATTGTGAGTTCTTTTTAATTCTTAAGTAATATTTCTACAATAATTTTAGCAAAGATAAGGAAATCCATTCTTTATAACATTCTTGAAAAAATACAAAATATATAAATTATAAAACGCATAAACTATTAAATAAAGTAATTGAATGCATGTGTGTGCAAATGTTTATACTAATATTATACATAATTTTAAGTCAAAGGTTTTATATTAAGTATCAAAAGTATTATGTTTATAATTGTTATTTATAGTTTTAAATATAAATTATATTGTGATAGAAATATATAAATTAACAATACAATAATCTTTGTTTTCCTTTTGTATCTTTTATTTCAAACGTCCGAGTTGGCGCCGAGGTTATCATCAAATTAAATTAAAAATTTACGATGGATTCAAATTAAAAAAGCTGTCAAACCCTATTCCAAACAGAGAACATAATTTATAATTCAATTTGATTATGAACAGGTTTTCATAAGCTAAGAGAACTAATTGTAATTTATGATTTTTATTAGGTGGTAACACCCATCATGGCCTGAATTTATATTGAGGTCGGATCATTTAGCAATCGAATATTTAAAAATCAGACATTAAATATTACGATATTTTTATTAATTTTCATGATAATTAAGACAAGACTTGCTAACGATTGAAAAGAGAAATAGCAAAGGGGATCAATGTGCCAAATAATTGCACATCTTTATTCGAAAGCTTTTTTTAATCAATATTACTGATAATTACGAAGTGGTAGACACTAATGATATGAAAACTTTATATAAAATATTTAATAATTGAATTAAGTATTAATGAATTTGATGTCTCAGTTAATTCATCTGAAGACACCTATCTTCACACGGTCAGTACGAATCATTGAAATCAGTTGAACAGTTTTCTCAAAAACGTTGCCAAAAATTTTATCCAATACATCAATTTTTTTCAGAATTACACTAATGTAAAAGTATGAGCAACTTTTCATTTTCGTTTTTCTGCGATTTATATAACTTACCCTACGGGAACCAATATGGAAAGACCTCAAAGAGATGATGCCCTTTGAAAAGGTGCGCTTATCTGGAGAACTTCGGTTCAACAGACACATTATCATATTTTTAACGTTTATTTCGGTCATAAAAAATGATTATATTGTGTATTAAATAAACGAATATTACAGAAACAAATATCCCATGTCGTTAGCTGGATATTAATATAATTGCCCATGGTACGGTATCAATACACGTCATGGGACGATGCAGTGGAGTAGGAATATAATAAATATATATATATATATATATATATATATATATATATATATATATTTATTAAATATACATACGTGTTGAACTGAATACATACATAATAGCAAGTATAATATATTTTTATTGGCCATTGAAGTATTCATAAATTCAGATTTTTTTAAATTTTGAGTCTGCCCATTTTTGGACCGCCTGATTTTACCAAAAATTACTCAGCACAAATCGCAACTGATATCTTTCAAACAGTTTTTGAATTTTGAAAAGAGGATCATGATTTTTTAGTAAAACGTGGCCAAAACATCTTGCACCTTTTTGCGAATGATCAAAAAATGGTTTGGTCGATCTTTGTCAAAGATCAATCAAGGTCAGGTTATCATCGAATGGCTTTCAAATTTTTGTAATCGGTGCTGTCAAAGTATGTTAGTTTGTTTTTGTAACAATAAAATACAGGTAAAAGGATTCCCTAAAAACGCAGAAAAATTTTAGAATAAAACTGGTTTTTTGATGGGTTTTAATATACAATATTTGGTAAATAATGCTAAGTTCTTATAGTCCAATAAAATGTTTTTTATCATAACGATTTCCGCAATTTTTTATTTTTTTATTCTTCAAAAATATGTAAAATTTTATGTAGGAACAATTTTTTTCTACGCTTCTGATTCTTTTTCATTTGAAAGATAGATGTCAAGCTGCGAGAAGTTATTTAATGCCGACGCGGTCGCTCGCAAAAGGCTCCGCGGGGAGGCGACACTCCGCCAATATTATCAAAAATTTTAGATTGTTATTGTTCAGGAAAAAATATTATATCATACATTTGTATTATAGCCAATGCGAAAAAATGGCAAATGACTCGAACATCAATTTGACACGTTTGGTAAGAGATTTAATATATCAATGGTATAACAAATCTGTAGGGATGATTGCAAAGGCGCAGTTTTATATTAAAAAAATTATGGACGCTGTTATTACAAGTTTATGTTTATTCTATTTAAAATTAACTTGTATTATTCTTACTATCTAACTTCATTAAAAACTAGTCCAAATATGTCAAAAATCTAATTAAATTACTACTATGTTCTGAACACGTTTCAGAGACTCCGTACTGACTTATTAATTTAAAACAATTACGAGTACTACATGAATAAAAATTGAGCAAAATGTGATTACTTAAAACATAAGTTTTATATTCTGTGAAGTATGTGCTGTCCTGTGTGTAGTACATTGAAATATTACAACAAATTTTCCATCACCACTCGCCATTGCACAAAAAGTTATAAATTTCAATGTACGCTTGTATGAAATCAGCAAACATTATTCAATCCTAAAAAATATTATACCTTTAATTTAAAACAAAATTCTGATCAATATCAGTCTTACCTTAATTACGGTCTACATCCAGCATAATTATACTTCAATCTCTTAACCTTACTGGCATCAATCGAATATTTTCCAGGGACCATGATAGACTTGACATATTCTTTGGGATATTTTGATTTCCCGCTTTCATATGATGAAATTCTTGGATATCGCAAAGAGTTTTCTGCTAAACAAGGCAAATGCAAACCATAATCCGAACCATAAATCAAATTCGTGTGGGATACATGAATAGTATTAATGGCAACTTGGATGACCATCGGAGGTAAATAGGTGAATGGTGGTCTCATACTAGTTGGTACGTAGTAAATGCCTCGATCTTCAAACCTACGGATAAAATATAAGTTTCTGTAAATATAACAAAACTATTTTTTGTGATAATATTAATGTAGTTTCTAAATACATTTTCGAATTTCTGGAATTATGATCGCTTTCTTAGATTTAAATATATATTTCTTTTTCATACTTACTTAACATCTTTCGCTACTTCAAAAATATCATAAACAAGACGCTTTCTGGGTATTACTTGACACTCATGATTATAATACAGATCATATATACTTGCACAATGATAAGCATCATAACAATTCTTCTTTTTGATCAACTCTTTAATATAGTCCATAACCCTAAGATGGCTACACTCTAAAATAGTAAGAATTACATTATTTGTGCAAAGTTTATTAACATAAATCTAAGAGATCAAGAACACTAATGTGCCAACTTAATAAAAAATATATAAAAAAATGAAATAGAAATAATATAATCGGTAATAAATATAATTTCAATTTTTATGAATGCAGTACAGTATCATAATTTTTACTAGAAAACTAATCGAGGGTTCTACTAATAATTTTGGCAATAACGAAATCTGGCAGTTAAAAACAATAGACTATTTAATGGTAAGAGCTAAGATATTTCAATCAGTTTCGATATCTTCTCGGTCAAGCAGTAGTGACATCAGTTTTTACTTGCAAAATAATTCACCACAAAGAGAGGGATCACTGTTTGGGTTACCATCATAAAACCGAGTTAAGTCAAATCACCATATCAGCTTAAAGGATTAATAAGTTCTCGATATTAAATATTCAAAATACTATTGAAAACCAAAATAATGTTGGTAGGAAAATTTTAAAAACATATTTTCTTTTATCAAATGCAAAAGTATCAAGTAAGCGACATAACCAAATGTAATCAAAATTGCAAAACTTCAAAATGATTCATTGTAGCAATCCAAATGATTCATTGTAGCAATAAGTACGATAACTGGCATACACATATAAATGATATTTATAGACATTCCTAGAACAAGTTTTGCCAAAAAACAATAAACTTATATGTGCGATTCGTGAATACGGTTTTATTGGCACGGAATACGATTCGTCTTCTGTTTGTTATATTATTCTTATATTTGAAGAAGCGAAAATTGAATAAGAATCTTTCTTGAACAACATAATTAAAATATATTTATGTAACCTTATAAGAGATTGTTAGTCCATAAACTTACGATGTATAGTGCTATCAGGGCAACCTGGCTGTAGAAATCCTCCGTTTATGTAAAAATCCATGTGACCCATGGGTCTTCTGACTCCAAATTGAGCGGCGTTCGTGTGAATTATTCGAACGACAATCGCGCAATCGGCGCCCAACATCATCGCGCGGTCGCCCTTCAGGTCTTCGTCGAAACCGCTGGCAGTCGGGTCGAGTCCTAATAGGAGTCTTAGTACTTATTTTGTTTTTAATAGCTTATGATATATATATATATATATATATATATATATATATAAGATAAAATGTGCATTTAACTTACCAACTATAACACCAAATTTTGCCGGATAATGTCTTCTGCCTGCATGACCCAAAATATGAGCACCCAATCCAAAGCCCAAAAAATGGAAATATTCAGCCGACGTTTTAAACGCTGTTTCTAAACGAGAAATGATATGCTCAACTTTCAACCCGATGGTTTTAAGAGATGTAAAAGTCAAATGATAATCCTTGATAAATTTAGTCCATTTCAGTCCGATTATAGTGTATTTGGGCATAGCATGAATATATTCTAAAAAACATACATGAATTAAATTCCTTATTAAATTTTCCAAATCAATTTGGAAAAAGTAATCACCGTCAATAAGAGGCAAAATATCTTCATATTGTTGTTCAAATCCGTGTATGACAATTCTAATGCGGTAGCAATCTTCCACTTCAATACCTTCCAAATTTGAAATATTTATTTTGTAGTTGTAGTGATCTCTTGAAAAATTTAATATATTGTAAAATAACCATGTCTATATTTATAGATATTTATAATAAAAAATACTGAACCGTTACTTGTTAAATAAATATACCCCAATATCATCAGCCGGAACTGGTAACAGAACTCTCTTATAACACATAGTTCGCTGCCACCCCTTTCTAAACTCCGTGGCAACCTCTCCTGGCACTATATAATATTGAGTTAAATTTACTTTATTAATTTAACACAAATCTCAAAACACAAACTGCTCAAAGGATTGAAATTAATATCTATTGTAAAAGCTTGAAATAAAATACTAAAACTTAATCAAAAATAAGTTAATTGAACGGTTTAATTTTGTTGCTTACCGATACTTAATACAGTCAAGAAATATATCACGCTAAGCATTATGAACATAAATTAACTAAATAGCAAATTTTCCCTGCTATTTATAGTCTCATTCAAACTTCTGTAAAAGCAGAGCCGAATTATATCGATTTGAAGAAATGAGATGAAAATACTTTATTACTGGATTAGTATTATCATTCTAATTATTAAAAGAACTTTATAATGAATAATACGTTATAATAACACAGTTCCACAACAAAAATTTGATGTGCTACTAATTGTACTAAATTTGGTGTGCAATATGGTAAAAAATTGATTAAAAAATAGAAACGACAAAATCCCCGATCTAGAAATTATTTTGTATCATAATTAAAATCTAATCATTTTTGTAGTTTCCAGGTAATTTAATGCCTAAATGACCTGTGCAACGGATTTCTGCAACATTTTTCATCTCTGTTGAACATATTTTGAAGTAATTGCAAACATGTTTGCAGATAATATAGGGCATACAGAAACTAAATATGTTTGTAACTTATTGTTAAAAGCTACAAAAAATAACCAATATACAGGTTTATATAAGTTATGAACACTTTTTTACTATTACTTAATTCTACATGATGCAATAAATGCAACTCTGCTTAACTTCCATTTCCAATGTGAACCTGACGTCATTTTATTATTATTCCTTTAAAGTATACGATAAATGACTTCACTGCGTTTCAGAAATTATCGGCCATAGCATCTATTACTAATCAAGGTTTGATTCAAAATAATTCGTGTAAAATATTTATAAATAATAGAACAACATGCGGAGGTTTGCTGAAATGGGCTTTATTAGCAGAGAAATACAATACATCGACATCGTTGCCAGTTTTATTAGCTAAGAAATACAGTATATCAACATTTGCTAAAAGATTTATTGCGTTATTAAGACATGTTCTATATAAAAAAAAGAGTTTTAAGAATTTTTAAATTATTAGTTTAATTTTATTCTATCGCCAAATAACTTATATTTTTAGTATAGCTTTTATTTTTAATAAATGTAATACTAACAGTATTACCCAATTTAATCCAGTTTAAGCATTTGAATAACATCATAGCGAAATGCAAGCTTAAATCATAATAATAAGTTGTTTGTATCACACAAGGCAAATTTTCATATTTTAACAAGAAGATATTTTCGGCAGAGTAAACTATGTTGTACAACGAACATTTTGATCGTCATTCAAAATTTTTTAACCTCATTGATACTTTTTCACCAAACCTTAGCCATTACAATTAGCATTTTGTGACTTTTTTAAAATGCTGTTATCTCCAGGTGTTTCTCTGCTGTTACAATGAACAGGAATTGGCCAGTCGGATCCATATACTCCTGTGGTATGAGAAACGTGAACGACATCATTGGCGACGTATATGTAATGTGGCGGAAACAAAGAATAAGGTGGCCTTGCGTTGGTGGCAGCGTAAAATATCCCTTCTTCGTATTCTCTAACAAAAATATAAAATTTTGTGCAAAGCAGTATTATACACCAAAGACTTGTTACCTGATGATTGAAATAAGCTAAGTATTAATGAAGCTAATCTTTTCTTTCTTTACTCGAGCAACTTACAGCATCTTGTACATGGTGCATCTTCATAATAATAAATTAACCATAACATTGCTTTTTGAATGTACTTAGTTTTAAAAAATACTTAAAATTTTGCAGTATCTGGTACGTTTTGCATTTTCATGATGACAAATTATTTTTAAGTACTTACTCTGGACACCTTGCAGCTTCGTTTGAGACATACATCGAATGTCTGTTTGGCACAATCCTGCATTCTCCGTTATACCGCAAGTCGTACCAGCTCGCGCACCGAAAACCAATGTGCATTCGGTTCTTTTCAATGGCTTCGGCCATGTAATCTATGGCTCTCAAATGCGCACATACTGATGAAGAAAATACCACTTTTAGTTAACCCAAACCAACTAAATTTGTATACTAATATTTCTACTTACATTCATCATCTTCTTTGCAACCTGGCTGATAAAATCCGCCATTCATGTAGAAATCCGCATGTCCCATCGGATACCTAACACCGTATCGCTCACCATCTGTATGGATGATTCGTACAAATTTAGCACAATCTTTGTTCAACATATTTTCCCTGTCCTCCTTTTTATCTTCATTCCAACCTGATATCGTTGGATCTAGACCTGGGTATGAAATCGAAAAGTTAGTATATAAATTAGTATATATTGGCATGATGAATCTACTGACCTATTATCATCCCGATTTCACCGTCTACCATTCTGCCAAGAGTAGCCGCCAACTGTGCCCCAAGACCAAATGCGACTATATGAAAATCCGAGAGTTTCTTTCCTGTATAATCACTAGTTAAAGTTAACAGTGACCGCAAAGAAATGGCTACGTTGTAGAGTGTAGATTTTGCCTGGTTATAGTTTAAAGAGGCTGTAGGCTCCCAATCTAGGACAATCGCTGAAGTGTTTTCACGACCTTGATACGCTGGAAATCACCACAAATAAAATGATATCAATTTAATTTATTTACTTCCCGAAGGAGAAGTTTATATTTTTGCAAGAAAATCCGATTTGCAAATTTTATGTTATTTGACGTATTCTGAATCCTTTGAGTCCAAACATCAAAAGTATGTGAGTATGTACGCCTATTTTTTACCTTGCGTTAACATTTTTTCAATAACAGCTAATCCGATTTGATAAATTTTAAAGCCATTAGATGCAACTGGATGATGTGTCATGTTGATCAGTTGATCAGTTTTGTGCCGCCATCGGCCAAGCTGTTGTTTTATGATTATCAGAAAAGTGTAAAGTGAAACAGTATCGAAGCATTTTAGTATAAATGTAAAAAGTATAAATAAAAATTATTTTCTATCATATTATAGATCTTTTCTTAAAGTTTTTCTGAGTTAAATTTCCTCTATTTTCTAATAACTGTAAAGAAAAATGAAGATGATATACAACGCCATTTATATTACTATCCTGGTATCCAGTTTCATACATTATTGTATCTTAAATAATGTATAAAATGTACATTGTTTTAAATCTAGTTATAAAAAGAAAATAGAAAAATAAATTTTATACATTGATAAGCTGATTATGATGATATCTTATAAATGTATATTTGGTAATAAGTTTAATTGATGGAATTATATATTCAATTTACCTTTTATTATAGACATCACGTCCAATCTGGTTTGATGATATCCATGAAGAACAAAACGAATATCATGACAACTTGGTATTTCAATTTCTTCCCATATTTCAGGGGTGAGGGGTAAGCCTTCATACTCACTAAAATAAAAATTATATATAAAAGCTAATATTTTAAGATAATAATCAAAAACTTCTATGAATTTCCTTTGCTATAAAAAATGGATTCAGGTAAAATTTAAACTTCTCAAAACCAAGTATATCAGAGGTGTAACTATTTCTCACAATTTTAGTTATGTTTCAATATTATAAACTAGTGTGATTAAATAGCACATAAAATGAAACTTTAAAATCTTAATTTTAATTTAATAATAAAATAAAATAATAATATTACTTGTTATACAAATAAGCTTCTAGAGGAGCACCATCTGGCGCTGATCTTGGCATAAAACATTCTGCTTCCGGACCCTCACTCAAAACTACAAAAAAAAATCAAAAAAAATTTACACTTCGTAATATAATATATAATATAAATGTAATATACTATATAATGAAAATAAAATACTCAATTATAATAAAAATATTATACCATAATCGTAAAGATTGATGAAAATGGAAAAAACTTGCATTAGTTTAAGAGCGATCATGATTAAATTTTACACTAGCCAAATAGCCAAAAGTGCTGATTTCCTTATAGCTGTATTTTTATAGCGACTGAAAAATGTTTTTACTTTGATAATACACAGGACCAGACTTGATTAATATTTTTCAATTATATATTTTTTTATTAATATAATTTGGGCATAAAATGGTAATAATAAATAAGTATACTTTGATACATTTATCGCAAAATAAGATTTCAAAAGCACAGATCTAATCAAATGTTTGTTATTTCAAAAAATTGTAATGTAATTGCAATCGTAAAAAAATATTTATAAAATATTTTCTTAATCGGTCCTGTATTCTTTCAATTTAAAATTCAGAATAATACGCTATTATTTTTTAACAATAAACCGTTTGATATTTACAAATGGTGCATAATAAAAATTCTATTTTCAATATTATATTAGAGTTGTTATTAGTAGTAACTATAAAAATTATCGTATTGAACAAATCTTTATTGGTTTCCTTTGAGCAATATTAATTTACATATTCTAAATTATGTAGCATATACATATATACATACATAAAATGTATGCATGCACATATTTATAAATAAATGATTTGTATTTTTCAGGATACATCAAGATGCACCATTTTTATCATCAAAATATTGTCTACGAACAATGCTGAGAAGAGCTTTAATTATTTTACATTTTCGAAAGATCAAATTTATTGGCGTCACTATCATTTTTTTAAATGATTGTTGTAATGTGGACAGAAATTAAATTTATGTAGACAAATATTCTTTTTTTTGCAGAATTATATATTCGAAAATTAGAGAATTTTAAGAACTTAATAAATTGTAATGTAAAATGGAAAAATGTAGAATTGCCAATATAGAGTCATCCCCATATGGGGTGAAAAAGGTCAGATGACAAATTTTAGAATTATAGAATAGCAAAAAAACATATGTCAGTATTTATATGAGCCATCGAGTTATGGACTATATTTTTATTTGGTTATATTTTGAATCCCATTTAAGAATTTTATATTAATCAATTATCAACTCTCAAAACAAACAAGGTATATTATATTAATTATGTTACACACGAGATTAATTACTTTAAGGTCGATCTTTTTAATTGATCTCTATACATATATATTAATATCTGTTATAAAAAGGTAATATTTTCTTCATTTTATTTCTCATCGTTAAAATAAAATTAGTCGGCTCGGAGGATATCAAAGCAAAGGGCAACACGCTGGGAAGACCCTACAAACTATTTTATATACAAACAGATGCGCCAATAACATCCATTAATTTTCAAAATATAACCAAAGCCAAATATCAGAATAATAATTGAATAAGTCCACAATCATTTTATTATATTTACTCCAATTAATTGTCAGCAAAAACAATAAATTGTTCAGAAGGTAGTCAATTAATATTTACTATAATTTTACATAAACTAATAAAGTTTGATGTATTGAGCAATAATTACTAATAAAGTTATTTTGTGAATAAATGGCTTGTTGTATTTAGTCGATATGAACGCACCTTTTTCATAAATAAAATCACCCTTAAAAAAAATCACCAGAAAATTTTATAAAAATAGCATTTTCTGTTACAATGGAAAAATATATGTTATTGAGAAGTGTTTTTGTAGTATTATATTTTAAAATTCACAAAATCGTATGTTTTAATTAACTGTTTCAATAAGCCAATTATTACTGACTGAATAGAACCATTGTGCAATTAAAAATATTAAAATAAATTAAATATAGTGTAGTATAAATCAAAATAAGTTTGTTTTTGTAAGTACTAGATTGTAAAAACATATTCGCTAATGTATGCATTCATAAAATTTGTAATATTTTTAAAAACAAATTCTATTTTTTTATTTAATTAGTTCGGCGTTTTACTTGTCGTTTTTAAGTTAAGAAGCACTAATTCTTAACTTAAAAAATAAAATTAATTAAATTAATTGAAATAAATTGTAATTAAACAACTAGCATTCTGAATATTTAAGTTATGGTAATATGATGCAATATATTTATGATTTTTTTTCAACTTCGAGAAATTTTTATCTAAATGTTAGCAAATAATTTATCAAAAATAACATGCAATAACAATTATTTTCGACAAAACAAATATCTTTTAATAATAAATTTAACCAATGACTCAGATGTTTCCATTTTATGTGTATTTCATTTCTACAGGTGGTTTTAAATGCTTACGTGTTTATAAATTATAACAGGAATAAATCTGATAAAATTGTTTGAAATTTCTTTCCGTTTAATAATACGTCGTCACAATACGGTTGTTTTTCGTATTAATTATTGTAGATGAATGAAATCAGAAAATCAACATAATTATTCGAACAATAGTTCGGCACATAAAATCAAATTTATTTCTTTTGAAATAGTATAAATCAAATTCCTATCGAATTTTTAAGGTTAATTAGTAGATTGAGATTTAAGGAAATTGATAGATTAACTTTAGAGCAGTAATCATAATTACTTACATGACGTATAGATTTCGGTAATTATTAAAATTATTTGTTTTAAATTATTAATCTATGTTTTCTGTTAATAATTATTCTGTTAATAACTATTCTCTCTTCAATCGTGGCATAAAATAACTGTACTATTTCAAAAAGTGTGTCATTTTCCAAAGATACTTTATTTAAGTATCTTTATCTCATTACCCTCACTATGGGGTGAAAAAGGACAGATGACAAATTTTAACAATATCGCGATAAAACACGTTTCTAATGAATTAACTAGGAATGATGAGTTTATAGTGTTACTGTATAGTAGACTTGGCTTTCACAATATAATTATTGAAAGTCAAATTGGATCTTTGTGTCTCGCCTTACCCTACATATTTCAGTATTCCTAAAAAAATGAAATCCAAATAGATATTATAGATTATCGACAAAACGTTGATTCAAAACCTCAAATACAGTAAATTTAGTACCATTTAATTTTATTGTTTACATTTTGATTCATTACGAAGATCATCAAGAAACGGCGAGAAATATTTTCGCATGCTGTATTGCTATTAAATTGAATTGCTCGAAGCAAAGAAATGATGTTATATATAGTTATTTGCTGTGGAGGAAAGGATGAAAATGGATAAATAATTTTAAATCATATTTTATGTTTTAAGCGAATTAACGTCATGATATTTATTTAGTTAAATATAATGAATGGATAGTAATATTTTAAGCGGGTAGGACTATGTAAATGAGCAATTTAACTTTGATGATAGAGTAACATCGACATCGAAACTCTGAGATAACATGAAGGATATATATATGGAACAACTACTTCATTCCTCCTTTGGTAAAAATACATGTAAAAATGTAAAAAACAATTTTTAAATGTGAACAAAATATCGTTTTTTCTTTAAAGCTTTCTAGATTTGTTATTGAGAAGAATACTTTTTAATGTTAATTTAATTCAATATAATCACTTTTATACTTTGATAATATAATAGATTTTTTTTTTAAATATTTTTTTTCATATAGAAATTAATGTCTTACAAAATCCGATAATAATCTGCCTTGAATTTTTATTTCCTGTTCATCGAATTTGTATTTTATGTTAGTCAAACGTGTATGCTCTATGATTTTAAAGTACTCTTAATATAATTTACTTTTTGAGTTTTCAAATTTTGTATAGTATTTGTATAGTACTTTTGCATAATTCTACAAATTTAATATACAACTAATGATGACGATTAAAATTTAAAGTGACAGAAGTCTTTTCGAATATTTATTTAAATAAAATATGTTTTCAGTTTCTAAATTTATGTTTATATGTTTCAAATTTCATTCCGCTACGATCCACGAGATTTTCAGAATCAAGGTTCAAAATCAAATTATCGTAAAAATATTCCGAAGTTTATTTTCGCTGTCATATAAAATGCACACAAATCAGAAACATATAAAACGTCTGCCGAATAAAATAAAAAGAAAAAAAAAAACAAAAGCGCCAGAATAATCGCGATGTATATATTGTTATTCGTGTTAGTAATATAGGCAGTGTGTGTATATCAGACAATATCACATGGCGAAAATAATTTATTAGGCACTAAATATAAATCAATACCATATATGTGATTAAAAATTAACTAACTCAAATATGAACTATAACGGTTTTTTAGGAAAGGCCGCAACCTCATTGAATTATGCAAAATTCAATAATTACTTCTGATTGAAAGCTTTTTATACCTAACTTATAAAATGATAATAATATATTCATACCAAAACAAATATTTAAGTATGGAAATTATTAAATTTAGGTAAAACAAATATATAAACGAAAACATCAATCCCAAAACTAATGTGAGTAGGGGAGACTGGGTACGGTTGTGCCACTTTTTTATTAGCAATAATTTTGTTACTTCACCAATTTGAAAAATAACGTGAATAGCAGCAGTCCATGATTTTAACTTGATATTTTTAAATTGAGTAGAATGTTTTCAAAAAAAGCGTAAATAACAGTCCATGGTTATAACAAAACCATTTTTTTCCCTCTCGCTGTATCTTTCACATTTTTGTTGCAATTAGTTAATTATGGCGCTGACTCAATAATGATGGAATTTTATTCAAACACACATACATCGTCTTTCTCTCTTTAGGCCCTATCTTAAAATCAGTATAGTTTAGCTGTTATGGCGACTGTTACATCAGTATAACAATCTTTTTTTCAGGTTAATGAATTGTTGTTTAATCATTTTGTTACAATTGCTGTATCTATTCATTATCATTTAGATTGTAATAAAGTAGTTTTAATATTTCCGCAATAATTCAAAATTGATGTGTTATTCGAAGTTTGAATTTTAATCCTTTAATAGTATCTGAAAATATAGAAAAATTCAGCCTTTACATGCTAGTTCTCAGGAAAAGCTCTAATTTAGATTATTGTTGTTAAATGTTATTCACGTTACAATTAACGTAAAATTAAAAACTTTTTACTGGGCTGGCAAATTGATTAATCGTTGTGTAGGTATTTAAAACAAATTTTGTGCGAATAGATGAACA